TTTATCTGATAATTAGGGCCAAGTTTTTTCCTTGAAAATACAAACTGAGATGCTTTTTGTGATATTAAATATTCCATGTACAGAAAAGTTACTAGGGAGCCTGACATTACATTTGAACTTACAATACACGATTCATCTTGTATTGTAAGTTCAAATGTAATGTCAAATTCACCAAAAGGATAAATGTAAAAGTAAAAAAACAAAATGTTTTTAATTTAAAGAAACTATATTTGTAATTTTATAACAGCAAGAAAACTATTATAAAGTAATAGTAAAGAAATTAATAATCTATTATCTACAGTCAGATTTCTAACAGATTTCAGTGGATTCCCCCGCCCATTTAACATTTGGAAGTCAAAAGTAAGATTTTGATTGACTAAAATTTCAACTGTGAAACTTAAAGGGATTGATCGAGTATACACATTATGTAATTTTGGAGATGGGTATGTACAATGGCATTATAGAGCATTACAGCAGGCTAGGATGGTAGTTGAAATGTATAAAAATAGTTTTGTGTAATTTATAAACAATCCCAAATTTTTGATAAGATGCAGTTTAAAAACTTCTGAAGCAAATCCATTTTCTGGTCATGGACAAGGATCTCCATCTGTTGTACTTACAAAATTTTCTTAAATGGGAACATTTTATATGAGAAAAATTTACACATCTCTTATGGGGGGAAAAACTGGGACTTTTGAAATCAAACTTTCCACATGGAAAAACTTCTCATGTGGAAACTTCTTAACTGAATTCCACTGTATATTCAAAGGTGAAGATCAATTTGTTAAAAATACAAATGAAAGTTTATAAAGCTATTATCCTAATAACTGTAACATTAAGCTCTATGTACTGTACTTCAGAACAGTAAATTTAATTATTAAATTAGTAAGGTCAAAAAGACAAAAGTGATGCTTTCAAAAATTTGAAAGTAAATTACAATTATAAATTATTATACTAATTATTTTCAGTTAACATTTATATAAATGCAATTATAAGAAGAAACCAAAACAAATATTGTTATATTTAAAACAGTTTAAAATAAATTATATTCTTTAAATTATATAATTTTAAAAAACTTATTAAAAATATTACTAGACATTTTACAGACAAAAGCTAAAATACATTTATACAAGGGCAGGCTGAAAAGTAATGCACACATGCTTGTAGAACATGAACAAAAACAAATAGCAAGATCGGGCAAAAAGTACATTAAAGTACAATTCTTAAGCTTCAAAATCATATATTTATTTTTCAACATAGCCTTAATGATGACTAACACATTTCTCCCAACATGTAACAAGTTTTTCATTCCGTCACTGAAAAATTCTTCCGACTTTTCTCGAATCCAGAACTTGACAGCTGCCTTCACCTCATTGTCTGAGATGTAATGATTACCCTTGAGGTCTCTCTTAAGTAGAGAAAACAAATAAAAATCACAAGGCACAAGATTGGGGGAATAAGGAGGATGTGGAATCAGTTCAAACTTCAGGTTTCGCAGAGCCTCTCCAGTTGCGCGCGAGGGGTGTGGACGAGCATTGTCATGTTGCAAGATTATTGGTGCCAGGCTGCCTCTAACATGTCAAACTCAATGTCAGATGTGTTTTAGAGTCTGTATGTACTGAGAAGAATTAAACATTGCAACAAGATGCAACGGTAATTGTCTGTGGCAGTGATTGGACTTCTGCTGCATGTTTCATCAGCAATTATGACTTTTCCAGGCTCGCAACCACATAATTTTATTATCCATCAATTTACAATAGACCTATCAACAGCATCATCACAATAAACAGCCTTTAAACGTAATTTTTTCAGCATTTAAAAATTCAATAACTGCACACTATTTAACTCGCGTTGACATAGCACCAGAACATGTCTCGATATTTCCACTTCTCAAAATATACTGAATGAATGCAACAACCTCAAACTGCACATGCACATAGAGGAGGAATGTTACTTCCATATGCCATCTGGCATGCTTCTGAAAATCATTTTGTTTGTGCTCTACAAGCATGTGTGCATTACTTTTCAGCCTGCCCTCGTATAAATCTGGAAACAAACTTTTATACATTACTGTTTTAATATTTATTAAATTTAAATTCATTTTAATAAGCCTAAGATAGAGAGAACCCTATAAATTTGGATCATTGCATGTTGCAATTATTTATAAATGAATAATCAAATAATAAAACAATAATTATCAAATCATTTAGTGTGATTCATCAAGAAATTTTTTAAGCTTGATCTTGAAAATATATATACAGTACTTTCCTTTATGATTATTATTAAAAAATTATTAATATAAAAATACCAAATATTTTTAAACAATATAATATTTATTTTAAACTTATCTTCAATATATGAAATGGATTTTAAATAACCAATATTTTCTGAAAATATTTCAAAAAACAAGCATTGAACTAGTTTTGTTTCCAACTGACTCAGAAAACTAATATCATGTAACACTTGACATAATCATATTTAAATTATTATGATATTAGTTATATACATATTTATATACAGGGTGTCCACACAAAACTGACCACATTCACTGACTGAATAAAACTAGGCCAACTTAAAGAATGAAGTTATGAAGGTTTCCATGCTTTGTGAATAAAACTTTTTGAGTGTTTTATTTTTGGGGGTCTGATTTTATTTTGTCCTTTTTTTCCAATAAAAAAATTACAATAATTTACTCATCCAATGACAGAGGCCACTTTTATATGTGACACACTGTATTGTGTGTGGTATGCATTAGTGGTGTTCAATATTATAGAATATTAGACTATTGATATGATCTTTTCCAATATATAAGTCCGAAAAATAAACACTAGTTAATATTATTATTGATGTTAGATATTACTGATATTGAGAATTGTCAAAATTTATAAAATAAATTAATTTAATGGTGCACTACTAATGAAATTTGAAATTGTCAATGAATTTCATTTGTTTGTAATTTAAATGTTAATTTTGATTCTAGTATCAACAGTTAAACAATTTCTAACCTATTTTCTTGAATTCCTGTACACTTAATGTTTGGAATTTAAAATTTGCTTTTGATTGGCTGACATAATTCAAGTGTAAACAATTTTGAACTTGAATTTAAAAACTAATCCTTTCCAAAATTTTAAATTTCTTGTAATTGGTTAAGAGAAAAAAAAAAAAAAAACACAGTTAACTTGATGATTTTAAAAACAGTATAAACAGGNACAATAAAATGTGTAGATAATGCTGAAATATATTGTGATTTTTAAATATTGATGTCAGAAAGATAAAATAAATAAAAATAATGGAAACTATTTTATAATTAATTTACGAGGCCAATTCTGAAAAATGAAAGATTGTTTTCTTAACTATTTATTTATATTTTTAGCAAATCTCAATATCTCATTTCAAGGAACATACACATTTGACATTTACAATAATTTTCTTAATATCACCCAACACTTAGCTAACTGGATATCTTTTAATAAGAATTAAGTTACATTATTATTAAAATTACTGTATGCAAGAAATAGTGAGCATATATTCAATATGTTCGTAATAATTGTTGTTACTTTCCAATCCTACACTATTAGGTTAAGTATTTCATCCAGCAATATCAACATTCCAGGTTATTGATGACAAAACAATTTTATTAACTACTTTTTGTTGTTGCACATGCATTTTAGACCAATGTAACAATTTTGATCCCTCTTCACTGCCAAGAAAGCAATACATTTCTACATTAACTGCAGACAGATATTGATTACCAAATATACCATCCTATATGTGATAATGAATGATGTAATAATGTTGTTGTCATGTTTGCTACATAGTTTAAATATTACAAATTCACTTTAGTAATTTTAATCTATTTACAAGTATATTTTTTGAAGACTGGGCATATCAAGTTTGTATAATAGGAAGTAAGCATAAGTAAAAAAGTATTCTGAGATATATATATATATAATCATTATCCATCTGTATTTAATGTAGAAACATATTGCTTTCTTGACACTGAAAAGGGATTGAAATGTTACATCAATCCAAAAGGCATGTGCAACAACAAAAAGTAGTAATTTTGTCATTGTTAACCTTGAATGTTGATATTGATGGATAAAATACTGAATCTAATAGTTTAGGATTAGAGAGTAACAATACTAGAATACAGCTTCCCTAATTCATACAAATATTCATAATAAATCAACACTTGACAAATGTAAAAAAAAAAAAAAAAATGTAAGATTATCTTATAAGAGAATCTTTCAAACTTCGAGAAAGTTTAATCTCATAACATTAAAGTTTGAGTATATATTTATGAAGAATTTACTCATATATGATCATTGATATTGTAGGCAATTATGAAAATATCGAACTTAAAAGAAGAAACAACAGTAATATATATGAACTCATGCATTTCAATAGTAAATAAACTGCTTTAGTTAGGTTCATATTATATTAAAATATTTTAAAATTTATAAACATACACAGTTTACAAAATCCTTTGCTATTTCATTGAATTGTAAATTTTTCAATAAGTAACATGATAAAACCACTTATATTTACATAAAAAGTCAATCCAATATTTGAGATTTTTATATATACATAAAAATCTGTACTGCAGCAACTGAAAAGAACGAATAAAAGAATATATATATAAAGCCAGTTTACATTGGCATGTCTTAATAATTTCTAGAGACCCAGTTTCTTGGAAATGGTATTCTCAACAATCTGACATTATGAAGATAACAAATGTTCTAAGTGCCCATCTAATATTTTTAATAATGAATAATTTAAAACTGTATGATTTAATAATTTAGTTTGATTTTATAAAAAAGATATGCACCATTAAGAATTATAATATTCCAGCATTATCCTTTTCATTGTGTATTTCAAATCCTTCATATTCAATATAACATATTATTAAATGCAAAATTTACTAAAAGATATTTACTAGTCACAAATTGCTCAACGAATGAATTTACAGTTTCAACTCAATACCATAAAATTATTCATACCAATAAAACAAATTTATCTTTTGAATGATCCTCTTTTTTCACCAAAACACCTTCAATGGGTCCAAACTGTGTTCTTTTAGGGATTGTCTTTTTAGCAAATACACCGTATACTAAAAATAATTTTTATTCAAATTAGCACATGAATACATCTTCCTTCATAGAAAAAGAAGACAATAGCAAATAAAGTTTCGATATTATTATATTCAACTTTTTACATACTGATCATTATAATAAATGATATCAAATTTTAAAATTAACATTTATATTTTAATTTTAAAAAGTTTTATTCTAAATCATCGATTGAAACATGTGTATATATATATATAATTTATCTAGTGAGACTTCATGCATAATAATTATTGAAAGCAATAGCTTCTGTTACAATTGTATACGTTCTAAATGTTTGCTGAAAAATATAAGACAAACTTTTAAAAAAATTAGCAATAATGTCTAAAATTATTTCTTTAAAATTTAAATATACTTCCTTCTGATAGAAAAATGTAAATCATCACTTACTTTTCTTTATTGTTTTAAAATAAATTTCTTCATTAAAATATATATGTTTTAAACTTTATACACCTTATTTATATTAAAAAGATAACAATTTTGAAATGCAAGATTATACAAAATAGTAAATAATTTTAGACATCATAATTAACTTTTTAAATGTGATAATTTTGAATTTTATAGATAATTGTTTGTAAAGAAATATACAATATGAAGTAAGTAATAAATTATAAACAGACAGTCTGCACAATTACTTATGCAAATTTTCTCATTCAAATAAATCACTGACAACATTAGTTTAATGTAGAAATCTTTTAAATACTATTAATGGCCATATTCACCATCTTAACTTAACTCATGATTTATATGTTATTTTACATTTAAAGTAAAATTGTGCTCATTACACATTAATTCTAGACTTACTCATAAATCTGAATAATGATCTAACTCACTTGTATTGGTAATTTAATGCTGATATTACAGGTTAGCTCATGTACTGATTTATTTTTCTGCATTGTTTTAAGACAAATACAATCATCAAAAAACCTGAATGGATTCAAATACTTGAAAAGTGATTCATAGTATTAAAAATGATTACATTGTTGTACAATATTTAAAATATGTATTTAGTGTTTTTGTTTTTTCTTGTCTTTTATTTTGATTTTTGAATTACTTAATTAAAAAGGCATTAATTTTTTATATTATTTCATTATAATTTTATTTTCATTTTTTCATTTTTATATTTTTTAAATTTCCAATATATTTTTATATTTCATGGCCTGCTCTAACAGAACATCTTGGTAGGATATGAAGCTAAGATTATAGAAGTTAAAGGAGAGAATTTAAGAGGCACACAAAAGTCTTGAATCCAGAAAAAAAATCTTGGAAGAGGACATTATCAACAATAAGGATCTGGAAAGTTTTCCAACAATATGGAAATGGCTATTGAATAAGAGGAAAGAAAAATGTAGGAATGGCAGTCATTAGAGAAGCAAATAAAATTTATTACGTAATATTTTTGGTGTTTTGAGTTTAAAAATATTTTTGTAATGAAAATATGTTGATTGTGAAATTAAATAATTTTTAAAAATATTGTTAAATATGTAAGGAAAAAAACATTTTTCTTTAAAATGTTCATAGAGGCTATTCTAGAGATGGATATTTCATCTGTTTTTGATTTAAAATATTCCAGAATGTTTATGTTTTTTCTTATTTTTTGTAAAAATTTTTGTTTGTTTTGATCTTATTCCCTGATTATGGGTTGAATACGTCCAAAAACATCTTGGAATTAGTATTTGTTTCATTTTTTAACTTTATAAGTTCAAATAATTTTTTTAAACCAGTAAACTCTGTTATCTTTATTAACAACTTAAAAATTTAGTTAGAGCATAAAAATTTGCATAGATATATAATAAGCATTCAAACAAAACTTAAAGATTTTCTAACAATTTCATGTGTCAATTTGAAAATTTTGTAATTCCGTATTAGAAATTATATTTGGGGATATGAAAAATAAAGAAATTCTTAAATTAGAAATTACAAGTTCAATCTCAAGATATTTGATTCTTAATCTGATGGCAATGATGGTGAATATGGCTTTAAAATTTATCCATAAAATTCTGAATTACATAATGGAGGTAATTTAAAATTTACTTTCAACATTCAAAAGTTACTCAATAACTCTCTTAAGAATAAAGTTTATTTTGTTTTAATAAAATATTTTTATAATATATTACATTAACATAATTTTTCAACTATATTTTTGTGAATAATTAAGCATGCAAAATAAATAAATTATTAAAATCTTTTTAATCATTAAATATTAATGAAAATATATTTACTAAATTTTAAAATAACTGTGTATTATAAACTCTCTATATTAAATTTTATTATAATGTAAAAATTATCTAGGTTTTTTCTATTATAATCATTTCAGAGATATTTTTAGTAATAATATCTTACTTGGTTCTCCATTCTCTTTTAGAAAGATTTTGTTAACGTATAAATAAGTCGCGGGAAGGCTTGCCCATGCTCGACTAAGAACAGGTTTATCAAATATAAGTTGAATCCTATGATGAGGGCAATCTTTTTCATAATATTGATTGCAGTCTTCACACCCTATTCACCAAGAGATAACATTATATTTCTAATTCATGTGCAGAAAATAAAAATAAAATGATTGACATCTATACAACTAAACTGTTTATTTCAAAAAATTATAATAATTTATCTATTTTCAAATTTAACTTTAAATCAATATATTAAGTTATAATTACAACATTTTCATTTAAATGAACATATAATATTATTATTATATTAAATGAGCATACAATAAATCAATAGTATAAATAAATTTTGATGTAAAATTTTAATCAATAATTAATACAACTGATTTTTATTACCCTATCAATATCATTGGAATTGGAGTTTAAGAAAAATATTTTTTGTACAAATATACTAATTATATTTAATTTATAAAAACAAATTAATTCAATTTAAAAGTTGTATTTTAAAACTCATATTCAAAGAATGCTACAAAATCTTATATTCCTGTCTGTGGATCATATTTGTTTTGGATGGTTATGATCTCACCAACCACAGATCAATTTAAAGACAATCTTTTCTGTCTATAGAATTATTACTTTCATCTGGATACAGTCAACAACCACATTTAATTTTTATTCTTAAATATAAAATCATCGTTAGTAATGAATTTTTTATATATAAACAAGTCATGAGAGTGTAAAATGGTGTAAATTTTTCACTGACATTTTATATAAATTTTTTCATCATTCCATATCATTCCATAGAGATTTTTTACATATTTTATCAAGATTTCTTAAAGAATATATTATATTCTATACAATATAAAATTCTAATATAAATTTATTGAATAATAAATCATTCCACAGTAATTCATATAGTAAAATATTAGAGTTTGTTCAATTAATTTTATCTGATAATTAGGGCCAAGTTTTTTCCTTGAAAATACAAACTGAGATGCTTTTTGTGATATTAAATATTCCATGTACAGAAAAGTTACTAGGGAGCCTGACATTACATTTGAACTTACAATACACGATTCATCTTGTATTGTAAGTTCAAATGTAATGTCAAATTCACCAAAAGGATAAATGTAAAAGTAAAAAAACAAAATGTTTTTAATTTAAAGAAACTATATTTGTAATTTTATAACAGCAAGAAAACTATTATAAAGTAATAGTAAAGAAATTAATAATCTATTATCTACAGTCAGATTTCTAACAGATTTCAGTGGATTCCCCCGCCCATTTAACATTTGGAAGTCAAAAGTAAGATTTTGATTGACTAAAATTTCAACTGTGAAACTTAAAGGGATTGATCGAGTATACACATTATGTAATTTTGGAGATGGGTATGTACAATGGCATTATAGAGCATTACAGCAGGCTAGGATGGTAGTTGAAATGTATAAAAATAGTTTTGTGTAATTTATAAACAATCCCAAATTTTTGATAAGATGCAGTTTAAAAACTTCTGAAGCAAATCCATTTTCTGGTCATGGACAAGGATCTCCATCTGTTGTACTTACAAAATTTTCTTAAATGGGAACATTTTATATGAGAAAAATTTACACATCTCTTATGGGGGGAAAAACTGGGACTTTTGAAATCAAACTTTCCACATGGAAAAACTTCTCATGTGGAAACTTCTTAACTGAATTCCACTGTATATTCAAAGGTGAAGATCAATTTGTTAAAAATACAAATGAAAGTTTATAAAGCTATTATCCTAATAACTGTAACATTAAGCTCTATGTACTGTACTTCAGAACAGTAAATTTAATTATTAAATTAGTAAGGTCAAAAAGACAAAAGTGATGCTTTCAAAAATTTGAAAGTAAATTACAATTATAAATTATTATACTAATTATTTTCAGTTAACATTTATATAAATGCAATTATAAGAAGAAACCAAAACAAATATTGTTATATTTAAAACAGTTTAAAATAAATTATATTCTTTAAATTATATAATTTTAAAAAACTTATTAAAAATATTACTAGACATTTTACAGACAAAAGCTAAAATACATTTATACAAGGGCAGGCTGAAAAGTAATGCACACATGCTTGTAGAACATGAACAAAAACAAATAGCAAGATCGGGCAAAAAGTACATTAAAGTACAATTCTTAAGCTTCAAAATCATATATTTATTTTTCAACATAGCCTTAATGATGACTAACACATTTCTCCCAACATGTAACAAGTTTTTCATTCCGTCACTGAAAAATTCTTCCGACTTTTCTCGAATCCAGAACTTGACAGCTGCCTTCACCTCATTGTCTGAGATGTAATGATTACCCTTGAGGTCTCTCTTAAGTAGAGAAAACAAATAAAAATCACAAGGCACAAGATTGGGGGAATAAGGAGGATGTGGAATCAGTTCAAACTTCAGGTTTCGCAGAGCCTCTCCAGTTGCGCGCGAGGGGTGTGGACGAGCATTGTCATGTTGCAAGATTATTGGTGCCAGGCTGCCTCTAACATGTCAAACTCAATGTCAGAGGTGTTTTAGAGTCTGTATGTACTGAGAAGAATTAAACATTGCAACAAGATGCAACGGTAATTGTCTGTGGCAGTGATTGGACTTCTGCTGCATGTTTCATCAGCAATTATGACTTTTCCAGGCTCGCAACCACATAATTTTATTATCCATCAATTTACAATAGACCTATCAACAGCATCATCACAATAAACAGCCTTTAAACGTAATTTTTTCAGCATTTAAAAATTCAATAACTGCACACTATTTAACTCGCGTTGACATAGCACCAGAACATGTCTCGATATTTCCACTTCTCAAAATATACTGAATGAATGCAACAACCTCAAACTGCACATGCACATAGAGGAGGAATGTTACTTCCATATGCCATCTGGCATGCTTCTGAAAATCATTTTGTTTGTGCTCTACAAGCATGTGTGCATTACTTTTCAGCCTGCCCTCGTATAAATCTGGAAACAAACTTTTATACATTACTGTTTTAATATTTATTAAATTTAAATTCATTTTAATAAGCCTAAGATAGAGAGAACCCTATAAATTTGGATCATTGCATGTTGCAATTATTTATAAATGAATAATCAAATAATAAAACAATAATTATCAAATCATTTAGTGTGATTCATCAAGAAATTTTTTAAGCTTGATCTTGAAAATATATATACAGTACTTTCCTTTATGATTATTATTAAAAAATTATTAATATAAAAATACCAAATATTTTTAAACAATATAATATTTATTTTAAACTTATCTTCAATATATGAAATGGATTTTAAATAACCAATATTTTCTGAAAATATTTCAAAAAACAAGCATTGAACTAGTTTTGTTTCCAACTGACTCAGAAAACTAATATCATGTAACACTTGACATAATCATATTTAAATTATTATGATATTAGTTATATACATATTTATATACAGGGTGTCCACACAAAACTGACCACATTCACTGACTGAATAAAACTAGGCCAACTTAAAGAATGAAGTTATGAAGGTTTCCATGCTTTGTGAATAAAACTTTTTGAGTGTTTTATTTTTGGGGGTCTGATTTTATTTTGTCCTTTTTTTCCAATAAAAAAATTACAATAATTTACTCATCCAATGACAGAGGCCACTTTTATATGTGACACACTGTATTGTGTGTGGTATGCATTAGTGGTGTTCAATATTATAGAATATTAGACTATTGATATGATCTTTTCCAATATATAAGTCCGAAAAATAAACACTAGTTAATATTATTATTGATGTTAGATATTACTGATATTGAGAATTGTCAAAATTTATAAAATAAATTAATTTAATGGTGCACTACTAATGAAATTTGAAATTGTCAATGAATTTCATTTGTTTGTAATTTAAATGTTAATTTTGATTCTAGTATCAACAGTTAAACAATTTCTAACCTATTTTCTTGAATTCCTGTACACTTAATGTTTGGAATTTAAAATTTGCTTTTGATTGGCTGACATAATTCAAGTGTAAACAATTTTGAACTTGAATTTAAAAACTAATCCTTTCCAAAATTTTAAATTTCTTGTAATTGGTTAAGAGAAAAAAAAAAAAAAAACACAGTTAACTTGATGATTTTAAAAACAGTATAAACAGGCAGTTTCTGTTTGATATCTCTATTTTCTGACAAAGTTTTGAATCTTTTTATTATATTTTAAGTATAATTAATTTTTTTGTATATTGTATTAGCCAAAATATTAATCAATGATTTTTCCTACTTTTTAAATCTTGAGTTAATAAAATTTGTAGGCTTTTTAGGTCTTTGAAACAGAATAATATAATAAAAATTAATAGCAGCAAGCAATAAGGTTTAAAAAAAATTCCTTAAGGTTATTAGTGAATGATTAGATTTTGTTTAAGAAGTTAAGCAAATAAAGAAATGTACTATTATTAAATATTAAATTTTATAAATAAAAAGTAATACATTTTTTTTATCATTTAAAACAGTAATAAATTTTTTATTATGCAAAACAATAATTTTACTGCAGAAATTGTCATTCTTTTAATCTAAACCTGCTCACAGTTAACCTTATCTTATGATAGCTTAATTCTCTTTAGTATGCCACTATTTAAACCTCTGATACATTGTAGTTAAAAACTCCAATAATATAAAATATTAAATTTGATTGGATAAAAATCAGAGTAGAAGAATTCTAACAAGAACTCTCATATGTTAATAGAAAATGAAAAACTGACAATTGTTATAAATTTCTATTAAGCAAACACAAAAATACATAATTAAATATTAAAATGTAATTAACAATTAAATTAATTTTGCATACAAAGCTTAATTAAGTGTATGCTTTAGAAATATAGCTGTTTAAGTAATTTGTTGTTGTTGTTATTGATATAAAATTTTACTAATTAATAATCAATATTTTGACAATATCAACTGTCATTATATCATTTAATTTATATTGATTACAGATTTCATAATATTGAACATCACTATCACATATGTGTAAAATTGTAAAGCCAACACATTTAAACTATAAGAAAAGCTACATTTATTAAAATGAAAATTTCAGTTAATAAAATACGAAATATAATATTAATTAATTATAAATATCTCATTTTATTAATCGTAAGATTATTAATTCTGCAATTTAAATTTGTATGTTATTGAACACACAACCATTGATATAATGTAAATAAAAATGATGGCATTTTTTTTTGTAATTACAAGCATGTACACTTCCAATTCATTATACTCATAATTCAAAAGACAAGTTATTAAAATAAATTGTCTAATTCATTAACATTTGATTCACTATTATAAATGAAATGCATTTGTATTAGTAAAAGCCATAATAAAAATGCAGGAAAAATTTTTTTCCAAGTGTTGTTGGCTATTTGATCAATTATATACAAATCTTTGGCAAAATAAAAAAATATCTTCAGATTTTACTTACTTAATACAACTTCAGTTAATCATACTATATGCAGAAAAGAAAGTATATATCAAACATATGTAATGCTAATACTAAATGAATGGCTGGTAATTAAAAATAACGAATCAAATAAAATATTCAATCCATTATACATATATATATATGGTGGTAATGTCATACTATCACAAGTGGCATTAACATTGTTTAATACAAATGTGGACTGGTAAATTGTATATGTAATTTGTATACGTATAAGTATATTAATCAACTTAATTCATAATTATTATAACTAATTGAAAATAATAAATTTGTTTTAATCTTGTANAAGTAATAAATTATAAACAGACAGTCTGCACAATTACTTATGCAAATTTTCTCATTCAAATAAATCACTGACAACATTAGTTTAATGTAGAAATCTTTTAAATACTATTAATGGCCATATTCACCATCTTAACTTAACTCATGATTTATATGTTATTTTACATTTAAAGTAAAATTGTGCTCATTACACATTAATTCTAGACTTACTCATAAATCTGAATAATGATCTAACTCACTTGTATTGGTAATTTAATGCTGATATTACAGGTTAGCTCATGTACTGATTTATTTTTCTGCATTGTTTTAAGACAAATACAATCATCAAAAAACCTGAATGGATTCAAATACTTGAAAAGTGATTCATAGTATTAAAAATGATTACATTGTTGTACAATATTTAAAATATGTATTTAGTGTTTTTGTTTTTTCTTGTCTTTTATTTTGATTTTTGAATTACTTAATTAAAAAGGCATTAATTTTTTATATTATTTCATTATAATTTTATTTTCATTTTTTCATTTTTATATTTTTTAAATTTCCAATATATTTTTATATTTCATGGCCTGCTCTAACAGAACATCTTGGTAGGATATGAAGCTAAGATTATAGAAGTTAAAGGAGAGAATTTAAGAGGCACACAAAAGTCTTGAATCCAGAAAAAAAATCTTGGAAGAGGACATTATCAACAATAAGGATCTGGAAAGTTTTCCAACAATATGGAAATGGCTATTGAATAAGAGGAAAGAAAAATGTAGGAATGGCAGTCATTAGAGAAGCAAATAAAATTTATTACGTAATATTTTTGGTGTTTTGAGTTTAAAAATATTTTTGTAATGAAAATATGTTGATTGTGAAATTAAATAATTTTTAAAAATATTGTTAAATATGTAAGGAAAAAAACATTTTTCTTTAAAATGTTCATAGAGGCTATTCTAGAGATGGATATTTCATCTGTTTTTGATTTAAAATATTCCAGAATGTTTATGTTTTTTCTTATTTTTTGTAAAAATTTTTGTTTGTTTTGATCTTATTCCCTGATTATGGGTTGAATACGTCCAAAAACATCTTGGAATTAGTATTTGTTTCATTTTTTAACTTTATAAGTTCAAATAATTTTTTTAAACCAGTAAACTCTGTTATCTTTATTAACAACTTAAAAATTTAGTTAGAGCATAAAAATTTGCATAGATATATAATAAGCATTCAAACAAAACTTAAAGATTTTCTAACAATTTCATGTGTCAATTTGAAAATTTTGTAATTCCGTATTAGAAATTATATTTGGGGATATGAAAAATAAAGAAATTCTTAAATTAGAAATTACAAGTTCAATCTCAAGATATTTGATTCTTAATCTGATGGCAATGATGGTGAATATGGCTTTAAAATTTATCCATAAAATTCTGAATTACATAATGGAGGTAATTTAAAATTTACTTTCAACATTCAAAAGTTACTCAATAACTCTCTTAAGAATAAAGTTTATTTTGTTTTAATAAAATATTTTTATAATATATTACATTAACATAATTTTTCAACTATATTTTTGTGAATAATTAAGCATGCAAAATAAATAAATTATTAAAATCTTTTTAATCATTAAATATTAATGAAAATATATTTACTAAATTTTAAAATAACTGTGTATTATAAACTCTCTATATTAAATTTTATTATAATGTAAAAATTATCTAGGTTTTTTCTATTATAATCATTTCAGAGATATTTTTAGTAATAATATCTTACTTGGTTCTCCATTCTCTTTTAGAAAGATTTTGTTAACGTATAAATAAGTCGCGGGAAGGCTTGCCCATGCTCGACTAAGAACAGGTTTATCAAATATAAGTTGAATCCTATGATGAGGGCAATCTTTTTCATAATATTGATTGCAGTCTTCACACCCTATTCACCAAGAGATAACATTATATTTCTAATTCATGTGCAGAAAATAAAAATAAAATGATTGACATCTATACAACTAAACTGTTTATTTCAAAAAATTATAATAATTTATCTATTTTCAAATTTAACTTTAAATCAATATATTAAGTTATAATTACAACATTTTCATTTAAATGAACATATAATATTATTATTATATTAAATGAGCATACAATAAATCAATAGTATAAATAAATTTTGATGTAAAATTTTAATCAATAATTAATACAACTGATTTTTATTACCCTATCAATATCATTGGAATTGGAGTTTAAGAAAAATATTTTTTGTACAAATATACTAATTATATTTAATTTATAAAAACAAATTAATTCAATTTAAAAGTTGTATTTTAAAACTCATATTCAAAGAATGCTACAAAATCTTATATTCCTGTCTGTGGATCATATTTGTTTTGGATGGTTATGATCTCACCAACCACAGATCAATTTAAAGACAATCTTTTCTGTCTATAGAATTATTACTTTCATCTGGATACAGTCAACAACCACATTTAATTTTTATTCTTAAATATAAAATCATCGTTAGTAATGAATTTTTTATATATAAACAAGTCATGAGAGTGTAAAATGGTGTAAATTTTTCACTGACATTTTATATAAATTTTTTCATCATTCCATATCATTCCATAGAGATTTTTTACATATTTTATCAAGATTTCTTAAAGAATATATTATATTCTATACAATATAAAATTCTAATATAAATTTATTGAATAATAAATCATTCCACAGTAATTCATATAGTAAAATATTAGAGTTTGTTCAATTAATTTTATCTGATAATTAGGGCCAAGTTTTTTCCTTGAAAATACAAACTGAGATGCTTTTTGTGATATTAAATATTCCATGTACAGAAAAGTTACTAGGGAGCCTGACATTACATTTGAACTTACAATACACGATTCATCTTGTATTGTAAGTTCAAATGTAATGTCAAATTCACCAAAAGGATAAATGTAAAAGTAAAAAAACAAAATGTTTTTAATTTAAAGAAACTATATTTGTAATTTTATAACAGCAAGAAAACTATTATAAAGTAATAGTAAAGAAATTAATAATCTATTATCTACAGTCAGATTTCTAACAGATTTCAGTGGATTCCCCCGCCCATTTAACATTTGGAAGTCAAAAGTAAGATTTTGATTGACTAAAATTTCAACTGTGAAACTTAAAGGGATTGATCGAGTATACACATTATGTAATTTTGGAGATGGGTATGTACAATGGCATTATAGAGCATTACAGCAGGCTAGGATGGTAGTTGAAATGTATAAAAATAGTTTTGTGTAATTTATAAACAATCCCAAATTTTTGATAAGATGCAGTTTAAAAACTTCTGAAGCAAATCCATTTTCTGGTCATGGACAAGGATCTCCATCTGTTGTACTTACAAAATTTTCTTAAATGGGAACATTTTATATGAGAAAAATTTACACATCTCTTATGGGGGGAAAAACTGGGACTTTTGAAATCAAACTTTCCACATGGAAAAACTTCTCATGTGGAAACTTCTTAACTGAATTCCACTGTATATTCAAAGGTGAAGATCAATTTGTTAAAAATACAAATGAAAGTTTATAAAGCTATTATCCTAATAACTGTAACATTAAGCTCTATGTACTGTACTTCAGAACAGTAAATTTAATTATTAAATTAGTAAGGTCAAAAAGACAAAAGTGATGCTTTCAAAAATTTGAAAGTAAATTACAATTATAAATTATTATACTAATTATTTTCAGTTAACATTTATATAAATGCAATTATAAGAAGAAACCAAAACAAATATTGTTATATTTAAAACAGTTTAAAATAAATTATATTCTTTAAATTATATAATTTTAAAAAACTTATTAAAAATATTACTAGACATTTTACAGACAAAAGCTAAAATACATTTATACAAGGGCAGGCTGAAAAGTAATGCACACATGCTTGTAGAACATGAACAAAAACAAATAGCAAGATCGGGCAAAAAGTACATTAAAGTACAATTCTTAAGCTTCAAAATCATATATTTATTTTTCAACATAGCCTTAATGATGACTAACACATTTCTCCCAACATGTAACAAGTTTTTCATTCCGTCACTGAAAAATTCTTCCGACTTTTCTCGAATCCAGAACTTGACAGCTGCCTTCACCTCATTGTCTGAGATGTAATGATTACCCTTGAGGTCTCTCTTAAGTAGAGAAAACAAATAAAAATCACAAGGCACAAGATTGGGGGAATAAGGAGGATGTGGAATCAGTTCAAACTTCAGGTTTCGCAGAGCCTCTCCAGTTGCGCGCGAGGGGTGTGGACGAGCATTGTCATGTTGCAAGATTATTGGTGCCAGGCTGCCTCTAACATGTCAAACTCAATGTCAGAGGTGTTTTAGAGTCTGTATGTACTGAGAAGAATTAAACATTGCAACAAGATGCAACGGTAATTGTCTGTGGCAGTGATTGGACTTCTGCTGCATGTTTCATCAGCAATTATGACTTTTCCAGGCTCGCAACCACATAATTTTATTATCCATCAATTTACAATAGACCTATCAACAGCATCATCACAATAAACAGCCTTTAAACGTAATTTTTTCAGCATTTAAAAATTCAATAACTGCACACTATTTAACTCGCGTTGACATAGCACCAGAACATGTCTCGATATTTCCACTTCTCAAAATATACTGAATGAATGCAACAACCTCAAACTGCACATGCACATAGAGGAGGAATGTTACTTCCATATGCCATCTGGCATGCTTCTGAAAATCATTTTGTTTGTGCTCTACAAGCATGTGTGCATTACTTTTCAGCCTGCCCTCGTATAAATCTGGAAACAAACTTTTATACATTACTGTTTTAATATTTATTAAATTTAAATTCATTTTAATAAGCCTAAGATAGAGAGAACCCTATAAATTTGGATCATTGCATGTTGCAATTATTTATAAATGAATAATCAAATAATAAAACAATAATTATCAAATCATTTAGTGTGATTCATCAAGAAATTTTTTAAGCTTGATCTTGAAAATATATATACAGTACTTTCCTTTATGATTATTATTAAAAAATTATTAATATAAAAATACCAAATATTTTTAAACAATATAATATTTATTTTAAACTTATCTTCAATATATGAAATGGATTTTAAATAACCAATATTTTCTGAAAATATTTCAAAAAACAAGCATTGAACTAGTTTTGTTTCCAACTGACTCAGAAAACTAATATCATGTAACACTTGACATAATCATATTTAAATTATTATGATATTAGTTATATACATATTTATATACAGGGTGTCCACACAAAACTGACCACATTCACTGACTGAATAAAACTAGGCCAACTTAAAGAATGAAGTTATGAAGGTTTCCATGCTTTGTGAATAAAACTTTTTGAGTGTTTTATTTTTGGGGGTCTGATTTTATTTTGTCCTTTTTTTCCAATAAAAAAATTACAATAATTTACTCATCCAATGACAGAGGCCACTTTTATATGTGACACACTGTATTGTGTGTGGTATGCATTAGTGGTGTTCAATATTATAGAATATTAGACTATTGATATGATCTTTTCCAATATATAAGTCCGAAAAATAAACACTAGTTAATATTATTATTGATGTTAGATATTACTGATATTGAGAATTGTCAAAATTTATAAAATAAATTAATTTAATGGTGCACTACTAATGAAATTTGAAATTGTCAATGAATTTCATTTGTTTGTAATTTAAATGTTAATTTTGATTCTAGTATCAACAGTTAAACAATTTCTAACCTATTTTCTTGAATTCCTGTACACTTAATGTTTGGAATTTAAAATTTGCTTTTGATTGGCTGACATAATTCAAGTGTAAACAATTTTGAACTTGAATTTAAAAACTAATCCTTTCCAAAATTTTAAATTTCTTGTAATTGGTTAAGAGAAAAAAAAAAAAAAAACACAGTTAACTTGATGATTTTAAAAACAGTATAAACAGGCAGTTTCTGTTTGATATCTCTATTTTCTGACAAAGTTTTGAATCTTTTTATTATATTTTAAGTATAATTAATTTTTTTGTATATTGTATTAGCCAAAATATTAATCAATGATTTTTCCTACTTTTTAAATCTTGAGTTAATAAAATTTGTAGGCTTTTTAGGTCTTTGAAACAGAATAATATAATAAAAATTAATAGCAGCAAGCAATAAGGTTTAAAAAAAATTCCTTAAGGTTATTAGTGAATGATTAGATTTTGTTTAAGAAGTTAAGCAAATAAAGAAATGTACTATTATTAAATATTAAATTTTATAAATAAAAAGTAATACATTTTTTTTATCATTTAAAACAGTAATAAATTTTTTATTATGCAAAACAATAATTTTACTGCAGAAATTGTCATTCTTTTAATCTAAACCTGCTCACAGTTAACCTTATCTTATGATAGCTTAATTCTCTTTAGTATGCCACTATTTAAACCTCTGATACATTGTAGTTAAAAACTCCAATAATATAAAATATTAAATTTGATTGGATAAAAATCAGAGTAGAAGAATTCTAACAAGAACTCTCATATGTTAATAGAAAATGAAAAACTGACAATTGTTATAAATTTCTATTAAGCAAACACAAAAATACATAATTAAATATTAAAATGTAATTAACAATTAAATTAATTTTGCATACAAAGCTTAATTAAGTGTATGCTTTAGAAATATAGCTGTTTAAGTAATTTGTTGTTGTTGTTATTGATATAAAATTTTACTAATTAATAATCAATATTTTGACAATATCAACTGTCATTATATCATTTAATTTATATTGATTACAGATTTCATAATATTGAACATCACTATCACATATGTGTAAAATTGTAAAGCCAACACATTTAAACTATAAGAAAAGCTACATTTATTAAAATGAAAATTTCAGTTAATAAAATACGAAATATAATATTAAT